TCCCTGCCAGTGTACATGTCCTCCAAGAAGCCAGTCTTTGCTTTTGGGAAACACCCCCTTTCACGCCTAGAGGTAGAGCAGGATTGAGTTACAGACAGGGGATCCAGTGAACTGAGGGCACTCATCCTACGCCCACTGTGTGCGGACACGTGGGAGTTTTCTAGGCTTCGAGGGAAGACAAGAGTTCACACTTCTGCTGGAATGGTGTGGCGGAGGGAGACTTGAAACCACTGTAGTCATTCACTTACCACAGTGTGAAAACCCGAAAATGACTCAGGCAACCACGGAGCAGAAACCAAAGCTCCAGCCATACTGTCAAGGCTGAACGGACAGATGGAGAGAGTTCTGTCTGGTGAGGACCAGCAATGCGGATCGAAGCTTACCCAAGGCCTGTCAACTTCTCAGAGATGTTAAGGGGCTCTCGCTGATACTCTTTGCGAAGACAGATTCTAAGTTGTAAAAGTACGATCTACTCTGTAGTTTGTGAATGCTATTTCCACAGTGTTTAAGAGCCCGAGGATCAAATCCCAGTGTCTGTAGACACTGCGTTCCTACTCTGACAGTCACTTACTTTGTCTGTGTATTATACAATCAATGGAATGCTAGCTATTTCATTGTTGGAAGAGTTAACTATCCTGACACAAAGCACAGAAGTGAACATTATTATTGCCATTCTGATTTCCTTTTTAAATTTTATTTGTTAGGATTGTGTGTGTTTTTGTGTGTGCGCTTATATAATTTATGTATGACATAAATGGTATACACATCTTATGGCTGGGGTATTACCGTGTCAGTGCATTGTTTGGGTTGTTGTTTTGGGTTCTTGTTTTGTTTGTTTTCTGCTAACAGTGTTTTTTACATGTAGAGAGCCAGGCATGCTGTCTCCTTCTTGTACCCATTTTTTCTCACCCCTAGACTGCGCAGCTCTCATCACCCGATACTTTTGTCTTTTCGTGGTCTTATTGTTTCTCGTCTTCCTGATCCTCTTCCTGGAACTACCCCCCACCCCACCCCGAGTTCTCAGCTACTGAGATCATCTTTCAAGAACTTGCTTCAGGGACTGGGAGATGCTTCGGTGGATAAAGTTCTTGCTCTCCATGCATGCGGGGCTAGCTCCATAACAACCTCCTCTAATGAGATCAACAGTAATTCATCCCGAGGTGCTTCCTCTGCAACAAGGCTACCTTCCGCTAGGCACTAACTTTTAAAGGCGCCATCTCCTCTCCACAGCACCACACTGACAACCAAACTTGGGGGAGTCACAGCCAATCAATATCACACCCAAATCATCACACTCTCTTTTTTACTCTACCGCTTCCCTACCCCACACCCCATGGTCAGAAGTCTCCAACCTCCTCAATTCCTTTTCTAAGAGGAGAGGTCATTCATTTGAAATTATTTGAATTTTTGCTGTGAGTTTCTCATGGCCTAGAGTCGACTTCTGGGAGGAAACAAGTCCTTAGATGAATATTGAAAACTGGCAAGCAATTCAGTCCATGAGAACAGCATAAGCTGTCTTCTTCTTGGCTTGGAAGCAGAAAACAGTATATTGGATCTTGGCCCAGGAGCCATTAGCAAATAGGTAATATGATCCCCTAGAGCACCTACAGCCGGAGGTCGCCTTAGGAGATGAGGCTGTGGGAGAGGCCAGGTCAGGAGAAGGATCAGGGCATATAAAAGGGTTTAGGTAATAGAAACTGCTGATAGCTTCAGGGAGTAAGATGGCCAGATTTTCAGTATTTTGCATCACTAGTTTGAGGGTTTTTTATTTTATTTACTACACTTAACAAAACAGTGATTTACTGTTACATTTTAACGAGTACTATAATTTCTGAGCTGGAGATTGGACAGGGCTGATCTAGACAATTCTGCATTGGTGTCATTGATTGGGATCACTTATTCACTCATGGTCGAGCTGATCTAAAAGTTCCAAGATGGGCCTCTCTCACATGATCATGGACCAATTAGCACCCCCCCTTAATTCATGGACTTTAGGACCCCAAAATAGTACATTGCCTGCTTGATATACTTTCATTCTCCCGATGAAGACCTTAAGAAAAGTTTGATTGAATGTAAATGATATTCCTTATGAACATTTTTGTGAAGGACCTCTTTTGGGGAGACAGAAGGATAAAGAGGAAATGGATACATGTCTACAGTTGTTGAATCCTAAACTGAAAAAGTAAGTCAAAGATGTTCACAAGTGGTAGGTAGACCTGATCTTTCCCGGGACTAATGAGATGCCTTTCTGTACTAAGATAGGCATTGGATGCAGTCTAAGGGAAGGGAAAATTGTTAGCACCTAGGTTGATAATGCAAACATGGCTGAAGAGCAAGGTACCTGAAGATACAAGTGAGAATATGGTTAAAAAGGTTTCTCATTGCTTGGGAAGATAAGAAAGAGCAGGTAGGAAATAGCTGATAAGCTCAGAGAGAAAAAGTCTGGAGGTCACACTGAGGACAAACTGCAGATTCCGTGGGAGGGAGCCCAAAAGGGAGGTACAGACGCAGACTGCCGAAGATACTGAGAATGAACCACAGCCCCAAGTTTGGGAGATGGAGTAACTTCATGAAATGACTAGGATGAGGGTGTGGCTTTACCTGTGGGCTTCTTGCATATAAAATGAAAAGGATGAGAAGTTGTGAGCTCGGAGTACTCACTGACTCATCAGCAAGGACACTGAGATCATTAGGTAACGGGGCGTGTGACTGAGTGCACGGGTGACACAGAGTTTCGGAAACATTGCGGGGCACAGACAAGGAATTATGCTTATATCCTTATGCTATATCAGACGTAGGGAAACAGAAGCAGGTAAAGTTTGTCTTCAACACATGGTACCTTCGCCCGAGAGCACGTGCCGTTCATTAGTTTGTTCACCTGTCCCAAACACAGTTGAAGCGTGGGTCATTGACACCCCTCTGCCCAGCCTTCTCGTCCATCCTTCCTTCCACAATCCAGTACTTATTATCAGTCAATTTAGAAACAAGACGTTACAACTGAAAAAAAAAAAAAAGTGCACGCTGCAAGATTTGACAGGGCTGTCTAATGACAAATTCTTAATCAGAAATGGTCATTCCAGGATCAACATTTTACAGAGGGGTCTGGAAAAATTAAACAACCTCCACAGATGGGTGTTTCCTAGTGCCTTACAGTTCTGGAATATCTTGGTCCAACACTGATTAATCTTTTCTGTTTAGGGTTGTTTTTTAAGGTTTTTTTTTTCCTTCTTCTTTTTGTAGTGTGTGTGTGTGTGTGCGCGCGCGCTTGTGTCCTTTTGAGTTAATGTACACCGTTCCTATGCAGGTGTCCTTGGAGGTCAGAAGAAGGCATTGGATTCCCTGGAACTGAATTTACAGTGGCTATGAGCCACTCGATACGGGTACCGGGAATTGAACTTGGATCCTTTGCAAAAGCATCAAGTGTTTTAACTTCTGAGCCATCTCTCTGGCCCCTTGAGGCGAGCCATACTGACAGCCACGAATAAAGCGATAAGGTATATATGTGTGAGAGGCTGCATAGATCTTTGCATCCTCCAAGGCAGGAGAATGTGTTTTAAGATACTGACCTCCTCCTACCCATGATTACCACAGGGAGACAGAATTGTAAATGAATGCTGGAATGCAGGAAGGTCTGAGGAGCGATGGCCTAAGAGACGATCAAAGGTAACCGATATGTACTAAACAGCTACCAGGTGTCAACCCTCTGTGTTTAAAATAATTTCATTCTCACAACTTAGCAGGTCAGAACCTTTATCCTCATCTTGCAGACAAAAAACCTCGAGACTGCCAGGGTCACAGCGATGGAAAGCAGCAGTGCTAGGATCTGCTCTCAGATGGTCTGGATGGGAAGTACCACTGGATGGGAAGTACCACTGGATGGGAAGTACCACTGGCCTGCTATGCACTGCCTCAGAGCCATGCTAGCTGCGCCCTTGTGAGAGTTTCAGTGGAACAAGGACTCTCCCCGCCCGTTTCTATCTTGTCCCACCCCGAGGGTGAGCAGGCAGGGGCCACGAGAACTGAACACATCTTTAGTTGAAGCATTAACCTCAAATGTGTCTGGGACTCCTTAAAGGTGTCTCTTCAAATACCTTGCCAGCAGCTAAGGGGTCAAAACTTAGAGCTGGGGTAGAGGGAAGGGAAAGGGGCAGGGAGAGAGAGTGCACTTTGATACACTTTATTCCAGCAGAATCTTCAACGTAACAGAGGACTTAAAAACGACTAATTATGGGTATGATTTGCTCCTTAAGTCATCACAGGGGCCTATCATTCTTCCAAAAGTTCTTCACCCGCAGTCTCTCTCTTCTGGAACCATTTCTTTACTTTTAATCTTTTTACAAAACATTTTATTGAGAATTCTATACAGTATGTTTTTACCACATTACCTGCTGTCCACCAACTCTTTCCACACACCTATCCATCCATCCAACTCTCTGTTCTCCCCTTTCGAATAAAACAAAAACAAAAAGATGGGTGTTGGGAAAGAGAATCAGTTTTCTTCACTGGAGTAACACTGATTATATCAACCACACTCCAGGGCAGGCCCCATGCTCAACTGACCAACATAAATGGCGTTTCTTCAGAGATTCATATCGCTTATAAGTTTCTCATCTTTGTGTGTGTGTGTGTGTGTGTGAGAGAGAGAGAAGGACGCGCGCGCGCACACACACACACACACACACACACACACACACACACACACACACACACACGTCTTTTGGGTCATTTTCCATTCTAGGAGGGTGATGAATTACAATGAAATTGGTTTTTCCGCGGTATTTCTAATCACAGATCAGGAGACGCAAACTACAAAACCACGAGTTTCTTGGCAGGGCAGGTCCCCAGTTCTGGGACTCAATGATCGATCAATCGATCAATCACACCCGAACTCTTTTACTAACAACAACAACAAATGGCACAGTAGCAAGACTCAGGCGCGGGGTTTAATCAGTGTCCACCGGCGCGTGCATCACAGGCACCAAGCCCTGCCCGGTCCCTAGGGAGCTGCCGCGCCTGCAGAGTCCCCAGGGCTCCCGCGGTCTCCGCGGGCCCTCGGGGGAGAGACCGCCGGGGGAGGCAGCCGAGCGGGATCGCGGGCGACCTCCGGGCTGCGGTCCGCGACCCGATCCCCTGGGGGAGACGCAGCCTCCCGCCGCGGCCACCCGCGGAGGAGCAGCGGCGGGGCCTTGGACGCCGTCCGGGAGAGGCGGCGGGGCTCGGCCTCCCGAATCCGGGACGCCTGCCGGGAGCCGCGTTACGGGAATCGCCGAGGCACGCAGCCCCGCCCCTTCGTCTCCTGCGACCCCGGACCAATGGCCACACGCTCCGGGACTGGCCAGGGCCAATCAGCTCCGGGTCTCCGCCGTGGGGGCGGGGCCACAAGGGGCGGGGCCAGGAGAGCCTCGGTCTTCGGCGGCGGCGGCGGCGGTGGCGGAGGTGGCGGTGCCGGCGCGAGCTCTGCGATCCGAGCCAGCCGGGCTGCGGCTCAGCCGAGGGGCGGGCGGAGCGGAGCGGGCCCGGGTCGGCGGGGCTGCGGCACGGCCTGAGGCGAGGCGAGGTGAGCAGGCCGGGCGGGCGGGCGGGCGGGCGGGAGCGCGCGCACCGGGCCCACGGGCCCTCGGGCCGGCCGGGAACCCCCACATTCCTCGCGTCCCCGCCCCCGGCTCCCGCGGGGCCGCGCGCCCTGCCCGGGTGACCGCGTCCCCGGGGTCCCCTGAAATTGCCGCCCCCGCCCCTCATTTCTCTTACCCGGAGCGAACTTTCTCATCCAGAAGTCGCAACGCTTTGGCGATGTTATGGAAGTTGAGCGGTTACAGATCCTGGCGTCCCCTCGGTTCCTTCCCCGCACCCCTCCTGATGAGCCCCGCGCGCCTTCACATCCGACAGGGCCCCGTCTCTCTGTCCTTTTGTAAATTTTCACCTCCTCTCCTGGGCGAACTCCCAACAGAAATAATACCAGAGGCTGGGCCCACTGCTTTACTTGTTGTTATTTTCCCATTAAAAGCAGGCTCCTTGGGGCTTAATTTGGATAGCTATTGGACGTCCCCACAGCTGCACTGCTTCAAAGTAGTGAGTTGATTCTGGAATGTCAGGGTGAATCCTCTGAAAGATTGAGCTGTTTGGTCTGGTCAGTGCTGTAAACAAACCCTTTTAGACCATGTGTGACTGCCAGCCAGCTCCAGTTGGAACCACTCTTAATTTGAAGTTACTGACTCATTATCCGAAGGGATGATCGCCATTGGCTTAATTTCCTAAGTGCATGTTCATATTTTTGAACTCTCAAGCTGGAATGCTGTATTTATAAGATGAAGCTGACCGGATTAAGTTGTGTTTTCCACAGATTTCTTTTGGGGAATCATTGTGCCCGTTTGCTTCTACTCACAAGTGTGAGAAAGGGAAAATTGCAAGGAGGAAATGTCAGAGAAGGGTAAACTTCAGAGTAGACTTTTTTTCCCATTCACCTTATCTCTATTGTTCACATAGGTGATTTAGAATTTTATAAATACCGTCACTTGCTAATTTAATGAAACATTCTTCTGTGACTAGACATTTTGTCCTATTTTATTTATGACTTCGCGTTTTCATTTAAAAATATTTTACTTAAGAGAATGTGGCATTTCAGTTAAATACTAGAATGAATGCTGTTTATTATATACCTATGAAGTAGACATTACAGTGTCTCCTTTTTAGAAATGGAAACAGATTAAAAAATGTACTACTCCAAATCCTGTGCTCACAAACTGTCCTGTTGGCAGATTTCTTACAGAAGATGCATTAGAATGATTTGATCTGGGAGGCTGTTTCCCCTCTGCGCTGCAGTAGCAGCGAGGTGTTTTCCCTAGATGTGGTTTCAGACTTGCTGCAGATCACCTGGCCCTGACATTTGTAGCTTGTTTGCTGAAAAAGACATGGAAATTCTCACAGCTCTTCCATGTCTTTGATCACGGTTGAAGTTTCTGTTGAGGTTATTTTACTAAACATTCAGCCTGCTGTGGAATTAATAAAGATGCCTGAGATAGCATCTAGGTGCTTGAAAGGTCACCAAATTGTGTTGACAAACTGGTGTATGAAAAATTACGTGGATCCAGAGCAGTTTCAAGTGAATAATAAAGGATGTAGGAAGTGCTGTGGGTCTTTAAGGATTGGAATTGAAATAGTGTTTCCTAGATGTCAGCCTTAAAACATGGATAAGGTTTAGATAAAGGGGAAACTAGAGAGCTCCTTCTCCTAATATAGAACAAAGGGCAGAATGGAGACTCTAGAACTTTGTAAAAGACTGCCCTGTCCTGTTACTACAGTATATTCAGTTTAAAACCAGCAACTTACACAATTTTGTATGTCAGTCTATGAACACAGCTTTATTGAAGTAGGTCTTATTAGCATCTTCTACATAAAGGCAAACCCCCCAAACAGACATTATTGTCAGATTCTATATTTATTCTTGGATATCCTGAGTTCAAGCTCTATACTTATTCTTGGATATCCTGAGTTCAAGCTCTTAACTATAATACATCACTTTTTTTATATTGTCTACATGAATGACAGATTAAGATGGTTATACCAGGTCTTCTAACCTCATTATTAGGCTGGGAATGTAACCCATAGTGAGTGCCTGCTTAGCATGTGCCATCCCTGGGTTCAGTCCTCAGTTCTGCATACATGCATGTATTTTCCATCAGTACCACTTACATGCGTACATGCGTACATAAACTAACCATTGTCTTAGCCGTTCACTACAGTCTTCAAGGTTCTCAGCCTGTGAAGTTGTGGTTACTGTGCTACATTCTGAACCCTGTGAGGGAACTCTCAAAGTGCAGTGGGAACACAGCTGTTTGTAGACGAGGGGGAAATTCCACAGGAGAAATGCTCGTTTGGTTTATAAATGGAGCTAGGCAGAGTCAGCAGGGCACAGGCATTGCAAAATCAAACTCTTAGTGCATGTTCAAGCACACGGTCGAGGAGGTGTCTTAGACAAAGTCTAGACTTTGTTGTAAGTTGAGCTTACCATCTAGGTGTGGTTGACACTGGAATGATGGAAATTGAGACCAGTTTGCTGAGGCCATGAAAAAGGAGGGACTTGGGTATTTGCTTTGCAGTTGGTAAACTAAAAGAATAATTTCATCACAATTGGAGTAAAAAGCCAGATTGCTTGCCATTCTCTCTGGGATTATAGCACGATAGTTTGAGAGAAAGACTTCTAAAGAAAGAGTTTTCTATATGTAGCGGGCTGGGGGTGGACCAGGGCCTGTCCACATTGGAAGCAGTGCTCTACCATGGACTGAACCCCAGCCTCCTCTGTTACTGTTATTTTAGAATACCCTGATACTGGGGGTGCAGGTAGGTGAGGCCAGTCCTTAGGTTCTGGGAATATTGTAAGTGCTGCGATCAGAGTAGGAGGAAGCTGTGGTTCAGGAGCGGCCGGGACCACTAGAAGGGCTTTGGCCTTCCAGGTCCTGTCACTGATAAAGAAGGGCTGGTGAGAAGGCCATGGAGAAGTCTGGGTAAGACGTGTAACTGGTACAAGGGTAAGATCAGAGAATAACAGGCCTTACTGACCTAGGCAACCGAAAATGATGAGTTGTTTATAAATGTGTGTGGGCAAATAAGTTTCTGTGATTAGAAATCCTGCCAAGTATTGGTGCATTATGTTGTATGTGTACATGGACATGTGCATTTGTAGGTACTTTTGAGGGGAGATTTACTAAATTGATTTGCATCAAATGCAGAATATCTAAGATGACACATAACTAGAATCGAAGATTCAAGCCAAGATTCTTAAAATTTAGCTTGAAGGTAAGGTAATAGTTGAAGTTACATGTCTTCAATGTAAATATTTTAAAACAAAAGTAGATCCTGAGTACTTTATTTTTGGGTACATTCTGGCCAGGAGATAAAAGCTAGCAGAGAATACCAAAAAAAGTGGATAAGGGAAAGAATCGGCTGCACCAGATGGTCACATTTGAATCGGAACTAGCCATGAGGAATTTTAAACGCAAGGGTGGTAAATGGAGACTTCAGAAACACTTTGTGGTGTGACACAGGGCTGCCAGAACTTTTTCATTCTGTGGCTAGCTGGTATATTTTAGAACAATTTTGCGAGTTTCTCTGATCCCAAATCAGAGAGCTGTTAATGTATGGTGAAACATTAGATTGATGCCTTAAAGCTACCTGTACTCGTATCCAGAGCATCGACTTAAATTCCTTACAGTAAACAAACAAAACCAGTTGCCCTGTTAAAAGTTGAATGTTGCCCTGCCTCCAAAAATTCCGATTCTCTTTAGTAGTCACTCTGTTCTTTGCTATAAGAAGAGTGGGTTAATTATTACTTATAAGTAGTGGGCCACGTGCTGTCTTCTGCAGCCCTTTCTTGTTTGGATGTCCTGTCTTTTAGTCCCCGCAGCTGCACCCCCTAAGGCAAGCAGAGGTCATGGAGCTGTGTCTCGGATAGCTGGTTGGTGGTCTTCAAACCCACCCCACCACCACTGTTTTCTCATTCTTGGAACTCTGACTTTATAGCTGAGTGTTCCTGAGCCCTGAATAGGGTTTCTGTTCCCAAAGCACTTTGCACAAATTTCGCCTGTTAGCTTTGAGCTTCCTGTAGTCAAGAACCATTTGGCATCAATTGTTTTATGTCTTAAGTGATGATGAGAACATGGATCTTTACCAGAGTACTCATGAAACTCTCATTTGACTAAAACAGGCAAGATAATTTATAAAAGTTTTTTCTCCTCAATAGCCATATACATATTTCATTTTTCAGTATGTATATAATCTGACTTTTTTACTTATTTCTTTATTAACTCAGGAATATGTATAATAAAAATATCTTTTTGTATTTTTCCTCATAGGACTAGTTGTCACAAAGTATATCTCTGAATAATGATAGGAGATGCCACATATATGTATTTTTAAATCAGATTTTGTTTTGCATGTATTGTCTCCCTTGTATTGCCCAGGCTAGTTGCCAAGTCTTAGGCTCAGTTGGCTTTCCTTCCTCAGCCCTCAAGCTGAGACTTACAGGTGTGTACTTGCCCAACTTGTAAATCCTTTATTATTTGTCTGGGTTGCTTTGTTTTGTGATACCAGGGGGCAAAACAGAGTCACACACATGAGCTGCATCTGAGTACTACAAGTACTTGCATGCACTTGAGTTTCTTTTATTTCATACTGTTGACTTGTCTGTTCTTCGGTGCGCATGCATACTTTAATCTTTATAGTCTATCTGAATGATGTTACATCAAATCCTCTTTTTGTTGTTTGAAATTAGTCTCTAATTTTTAATGTGAAGTTTCAATTGATGTGTAAGGTTCTATAATAAACTACCTTATTATTTGGGTTAGTTGTGTTCCGTTGTTATACCGTGAAATTCTTATATATTTCTGACGGGATTTCTCCTATTCTAGTATTGCTTTTGGTGCTATTATGAGTAGCATTTTTTCTATTATATTTCTTAGTTGGTTATTACTGATGTGCAGAAGTGCTATTTTTTAAATAATCATTTATTCAAACACTACATTAAGTATCTAGAAGTCCAACTAGTTTAACATTTTATTTTTGACATTGTAGCAGCTACATATTTCAAAACCACAACAGTAACAAAGTTACATAAGAATAAGCAAATGGATGGGAACAAGTAAATTATAGCCTACCTCTAAGTTTTTTCTTTTTGCTTGCTTATTTTTATAAACTATTATA